ACTCACCACTTGTCATTTCGACATAATTTGGCATTTTATGAGTGTAAATAGCTAAACGAAGCATTGAAATATTAGTACATCATCATTGTAAGTCATTTGGAGCAGGATTACAACTTATTGTACTATTTGGACTCATAATGAAACTATTTTGCACCCTTATGGCCTTTCATTATGACATAATTTTGCGTTTTATGAGTGTAAATGGCTAAAAGAAGCGTTGAAACATTGGCACATCAACATTATATGTCATTTGGAGGATGATTATCACTTATTGTACAATTTGGACTCATAATGATAACATTTTACACACTCACCAATTGTCATTTCGACATAATTTGGCATTTTATGAGTGTAAATAGCTAAACAAAGCATTGAAACATTAGTACATCATCATTGTAAGTCATTTGGAGCAGGATTACCACTTATTGTACTATTTGGACTCATAATGAAACTATTTTGCACCCTCATGGCCTTTCATTACGGCATAATTTTGCGTTTATGAGTGTAAATAACTAAACGAAGCATTGGAACATTAGTAAATCAACATTATAAGTCATTTGGTGCATGATTACCACTTATTGTAATGTTTGGACTCATAATGAAACTATTTTGCACCATCACGGCTTGTCATTATGACATAATATTTTGTTTTATGAGTGTAAATGACTAAATGAAGTGATGAAACATTTAGGGTAAATAAAATATATTATCCACAACTATTATGAAGCGGGGAATTATAGCCACAATTATGAAAATTCAAATTATTAGCCATAACTATTGTTGCGGGTCAAGATATGGCTAACTATCCATTATTTTTATTGAATTTTTAACTTAGATGGTTACATCATCGGCCACGGCGGACTGCTTTTAATTTATAACTTTGAAACATGAAAGTTTAGTCAATATTACTAACGAAATTGTTAGCAAATAGTTAACGTTTGGCTAATAATGTGAATTTCCATAGTTATGGCTATAATTCCCCACTTCATAATAGTTGTGGCTAATATATTGTATTTACCCACATTTATACATCAATATTATAAGTCATTTGGAGCATGATTACCACTTATTTTACATTTTGAACTCATAATTAAACCATTTTGCACACTCATGGTTTGTCATTATGACATAATTTTGCGTTTTATGTGTGTAAATGGCTAAAAGAAGCATTGAAACATTAGTACATCAACCTTATAAGTAATTTGGAGGATGATTATCACTTATTGTACAATTTGGACTCATAATGATACCATTTTTGCACACTCACTACTTGTCATTTCGACATAATTTGGCGTTTTATGAGTGTAAATGGCTAAACGAAGCATTTAAACATTAGTACTCCAACATTACAAGTCATTTGGAGCATGATTACCACTTATTGGTACAATTTGGACTCATAATGAAACTATTTTGCACCCTCACGGCTAGTCATTAGTACATAATTTTGCGTTTTGTGAGTGTAAATGACTAAATGAAGCGATGAAACATTTATTTATCAACATTATAAGTCATTTGCAGCATGATTAATACTTATTGTATTATTTGGACTCATAATTTAATCAAAAGACTTATTGAGAAATCGTTGTCTTACTCCATCACTTTTAAGAAACAAGAGAATAATAGGCTGATAAAAAGTTCGCTCAATTTTAAATCTCTATTTTCGGCAGAAAATCTCCATGGTTGGCGCCAAAACTTTGTCTGAATGGCAATTATGTTTGTGAATGTAGGATTTCTTAGAATTATATTATTGAATTTAAAAATTTATAAAAATTTATAAAAAAAAGTTGGCGGCAAATAGTAATTATATTGGCGGCAAATAGCCGTCCACGCTTATTAATGTTTTTCAAGTAAATGGTTTTTACATAAGTACAACAGCAGGCGTGGTCGTGAGAGGGGACGTCGACCGCTTTGTCATTGCCTTCACCATGAACCTTGGGGGGGGGGGGGGGGGTTCGATTACCACTACCGAGTTAGCTGGAGTTGAGCAGGGATTGAGGTTCGCTTGGGAGGCAGGGGTTCAGAAGGTACTTCTGCATACGAATTCGACAACAACCATCAACCTCATTGAGACGGCCACTCAGCAGCACATTCACTTCATGAGAGTCAACTAGATCAGGCAGCTTCTAGCTAGAGATTGGCAGGTCAGACTCAGGCATATTTACAGAGAAGCAAATTTCGTTGCCGATTACCTGACCAATCTTGGCCATTCTTACTCGTTGCGAGTCCATAGGATCTCCCTATTCCTGACAGTGCTCTATCGCATTGGTTGTATCATGACTATGTTGGGGTTGAGACGACCCGAATGATTCCGGAATAAAAGTTGGGACTAGGGATGTCAATCCAACCTGTAACCATGGGTATCCTACTCGAACGTAACCGCTCAACGAGGGTAATTACCCACTTTGACGGGTTAAGGGGCGGGTACGAGTAATACCCGGTTTCAAAGTAACGGGTAGGATATGAGCATGGTAATCACCCATACCCGCCCAGCTTTTACCCGCCCATAATTATGTATGGCTGTAAGCTGGTAAGTGTGTTTAACCCTAGTAGCAGGATTCATATAAATATTTTCATTTCCATTCCTCCAATTTCCCTACCCCAAAACCTTTGCTCGCTTCGCTGCTTGTGTGTTGTGAATTGTTGCAGTTTGAACCATTTTGAGGATTGAAAGTATTTAACGGACAACATGTACGTGTAATTGTTTCCCATCCCAATATGTTGAGCTTCTTTCTCCTGTTTTATATTCCAAATTGTTGGCTTAACAAATTGTGAGCACAAACTATCAACATTGCCAGAAAAGTGTGAGATGAATTTTCATTGCTATGTGTGTCTATATGTTAGAAGTGAACCAACAATTGTCATCAATGTGAAATTCAGCAAGGCCTATGTATTTTAGGTGGATCTAATGGTTGATGTACATGTATAAGTTCATATGGTAATATTGTTTTAGAATATAATTATTTACAGCTTGATGATAAATTCATAGCCGTGATTCCGAATACCCATGATTACCCGGTGGGTAGGATATAGTTATATCATTTCAATATCTGATGGTTATTTGATTGGATATTTTAGCCGGCCATACCCGATGAATTAGGGTATGGTATAGGGTGTACCCGCACCCGACCCTAACCCATTGCCATGACCATCCCTAGTTGGGACGTCCTTATGCGTTTCGTTTTCATACCAAAAAAACAAACAAACTACTGCCCGTTCACTTCCCATTTTATTTTCTGTTTTCAATTTCGAAAATGAAAATGAGGAAACAAAGAGTGATAAATGTGTTCACTTGTTATTTCGTTTTTGATGAAAAAAACAATTTGTCATGAATGAGGTAGATATAGGAAAACGATAAAAAGTCGTTTCTCAGAATTTTGGGCGCGGGTTTCTCCCCGTTGTCTAGCGAAAAATGACACTATTCATTAATGAGCCACCTAGTTCGATTCTGGGACAGTTGTGAAGGAGGGAAACCTGGAGAAGAGGAGATTGTACAAAGGGACTTGCCTTGAAAAAGAAGGAAGCTCCAGCCATGGAGCAGCCAAGGAATGTACCAGTTGTGGAGACCATTATGAGTGGTCTTCTACCAGACTTGTCGATCAGCATTGCTCCAGCAACAGTGATCGGGACTTGGATGCAGGCGTATGCTATGGTTCCGATTTTCGCCAGAGAAGGCCCTGAAAAGAATGGGGGGAACAGATTATAAGGGATTTAATAGAAGCTTCGTTGAAGAACTCCTGCTGTTTTCGGGCTATTTACCAGCTGATTCAAATGTTTCACTTGCGTAGAAGCCGATGCCATTGATCCCTCCAAGCTGCTGGAACACCATGAGTGCGACTCCAATCTGATCAGGGCAACCCGGGTTTTGTTCAATGTGAGTAAGAAGTCATAAACGTAGGAGGATTCACCATGAGAAAACCAGGTGTGCGCAAATACTTACAATCACAGAACGGATGTACTTGGGTTGGAACAGATGAACCATCCTTGCTTTTGGAAGAGCATGAAGAGCCTCGAGGTTATTCTGAATTTCAACAGCTTCACGGCTGGTATCAGTGCCCTTGCCGCGAGTTTCTGCAGGGCGACTTGGAATTCCTTGTCGCGGCCAACTGTTGCCTGAAATAACCGAGCTTCGTGAAGCCAAATTCATCTGGAATAACGACCTCTAAGTAAAGCTCGGAGCGTTAAGCTTTGCTTACCAGCCATCTGGGGGATTCTGGAACAATGAACAGACCAACGAGCAGGCAAAAATGCAGGGCAGAATACCTTTTTTCGGAAAACAAGCATTATACAGTTAGTTACTCTGAAAGATGCTTTCTATGATATACCATCTGTCAACCAGAAATGAAAAAAATTACCTGTTAGTGCTAGAGATGGACCCTAGTAAGAAGGCGGTGGATGCTCCAGTGACAATCATAAGCTACAAACGGGAGCAAAACACACCAGTAAACTAAAGCAATCCAGTAAGAGAAAAATCCTCTGCTTCTGCATTTCTCACCAATTATCCTACCTGATTCAATGTAGTTAGACCTCCTTCTTTGGAGCGATTTCTGCTCTGAGTATAGGAACATGAATTCACCAAACGAAGCCATCTTTATTTTTTTTTTTTAACTGCCATGCTTCCAGGAGGAAAAGAGGACGGTAAAAATGGCAATTACCACGTAAGAGAAAACTCCAATTCCGTATCCTGTTAAGAGCCTTCCAATGTCTAGTGAAAAGGCAATTACCACGTAAGCCCATGAACAAGCATGTTTGAGTCTCCAAGAACCTCCAGAATTTCTGATAAGCTCATATCGTTTGAACATATAACCTTATCTTTGTTTATCTACAAATTTCTGCTAAATATTTTATGGTAACGATTCAGTCAAAGAAAACATAACATATCGATCGCGAGCTCATAACTTACCAACTCGAACTATATCACTTTTTTTAGGAAAAAACAATTAACAATTTTTCGTCCAGCTTTGTTGTATTTATAAATACCAAGCCCATGAACACTGATTCTTCGCGAAGGTGACTCATTTTAAAATAATTCCATCTTTCCCATTTGTCTCAGTCTTCCTTTCACCTTCCGTTCTTCCCTCTCTTTCTTCGTCGTGGATTCTTCACTTTTCCCCCAAGCTTGTCTTTGTACAGACATCAATTCCCGGCTAATAGCTCTTGTCCACTCTCCCTCACCACACTATCCCTTCATTAGATCAATCAAGCCTCAAGGTATATATACGTGCATGCATATAGTCCACTAAAGTAACAAACAAATTCGAGTTAGGCTCTCAACTTAAACCAGTTTTTTGTCTATAGCTGCAGCGGATTAGAACGACGATGAATAGTACGAGGTTGTCGACTTTCAAGCAGAAGTCGTTCACGATGGAGTCACTGCCACGACCGACATCGTCAACGTTTCGCGGGAAGAAAGAAAAGGTGGTGTTCGTGGTGGGTCCCACGGGGACAGGCAAGTCCAGGCTGGCGATCGACCTGGCAACCCGCTTCCCGGCCGAGGTGGTCAACTGCGACAAAATGCAAGTCTACAAGGGGCTCGACGTCGCCACCAACAAGGTCACCGACGCTGAGCGCCGCGGCGTTCCCCACCACCTGCTCGGCGTCATCCACGACCCGCTCGCCGATTTTGCCGCCGCCGACTTCTGCCACTGCGCCTCGCGCGTGGCGAAATCCATCATCGCACGCGGCCGCCTCCCCATTGTTGCCGGGGGGTCGAACTCCTTCGTCGAGGCGCTGGTCGACGGCGAAGACGCTGAATTCCGGTCCCAATATGATTTCTGCTTCCTCTGGGTCGACGTGGCGCTTCCGGTTTTGTACGAGTTTATTTCCGACCGGGTCGATCGGATGGTCGACTCCGGTTTGGTAGAAGAGGTTCGGGCAGCGTTCGACCCGAATGATCGGGATTACACGCGCGGGATCCGACGCGCGATCGGCGTTCCCGAATTGGATGAGTATTTTAGATCCGGAGGCCGAAGCGCTGCCCTCATGGAGGCGGCAGTAGAAAAGATCAAGGAGAACACGTGTCGGCTGGCTTACCGGCAGTTGAAGAAGATCCAGCGGCTGAACGGGCAGTTGAATTGGAGCATGCATCGGGTGGATGCGACGGAGGTTTTTCTCAGAAGCGGAACGCCGGAGGCCGACGAGATCTGGGAGGAGCTGGTGGCCGGACCCAGTGCCGTAATTGTCGATCGGTTCCTTCAGCGGGATGAAAATTCGGTTTCGAAAACGACGGAGGTGGTGGAGGACCACGCGGCGGCGGTTGGAATTCCTCTGCCCGCTATGGCAGCGGCGGCAAGGCTAACCCTGTAGAGGGAGCGGGGGAGAGTGATAAAATGGAAGGAGTTAGATGGGGCCCACAGAATCAGGGGCAGTATTACATGCCTGTGCCACGTGGATAGTAATAACACTGCGCTGGGTTAATTAGTTAATTAATTTGCTTGGAGGGAGGGAGGTAAAATTTGTTGGTGCTCTTAAATAAATAAAACTTAAAAAGTATAGTAAGAAAACACAAATGGAAACGAAAAACCTAACGAGAGTGGAGAATTTGTTTGTTACTTTTGTTCTATTCTGTCCAACTCTAAAGACAAATTATACAATGACAGTGTTGAGATTATATACATGATAATATATGCGTGAATTAATTGATGATTGGTGTGTATCATTGTTGATTTGTTCTATACTGAATCGCTATTCGTAGCCCTAAATTTTAAAAAATTTTGCCCTAAATCATATTGAATTGACGTTTATACCCCTAATTACCATATTTTACTAATAATGCTAAAGTTAGCTCCAATTAGTAGTAAGTAGAACACAACAACAACCTTTAGGAGGGGTATGTATATATAAACAAAAGAGGGCATTTTTTGTATTTTTACCAAATTTCACACCATCAATTCACCCAAAACTAAACCCTATCCAAACGTGGAATTTCGTTCAATTTCCACAAGTCAATTTCTTGGTTTTGTAAAACATGGAAATTCAGGCAAATTCCCACGTTTTCAAATTTCCACATCCAAACGACCCCCTAATCCCTACCTTCTTGTGCCGTCTGACCAACCAGCTGATTTCCGGCCGCCGCTGCCATTCTCCAAACCATCCGCAACGTCCCCCAGCCCACTTGCCATCGTTTCATTTCCCCACCACGCCAACCCGCTACCGTTCCCCAAAAAAATTCTAGTCACCTGCTGCGATTCTCCCCATTGCCGACCCGCTCCTGATGCCGAGGAAGGAGAAGGAAGAAGGTCCAAGTGGGTAAAACCCAATCCGCCGCTGCCGTCCCCAGCCCGCCGACCCGCCTGCCAAGCTCGGATGGCGACGGGTAGCTCACGATTGTCAAGTCAAATGTGTCTCTCTGGTTTGTTTTTTGCATCATGCTGATTGTGTGGATATGTTTTACCTGTTTCTGTTTATTTATGATTCTTTATATGTTTCATTTTTCAACTATTATTGTTTAGAGTTAGAAATATGCAATGATGAATCCATTCTAACGTTGCTATGAAGTATGAACTACAAGTGGATCAGTTGATCTGTGTTTGTTTAAGGGTTTCAGTATTTGAAAAACAAAAAAAAATAAACTAAGGGTATTAGAGTAAATTCAACCTAAATAGGGCGACAAATAAGAATTTTTAGGGCGACGAATAGCAATTCCCGTTGTATATAATAAAGTGATTTGGTGCTTTAAAAATTTTGCACTCTATTCTATGGACATTCAATGATATAACAAATTTATAGGATTCTATCCTTTTTGTCCCCTTAACCTCTTATATTATATATTATACTCTAAAGTATTGGTGATTCTAGATATAAATTAAACATGTATTATAATATTAAAGTTAGAAATTCAATTGTACCATAAAAGAATTTGTACAATTATATTATTGTAGAAATTAAGTGTACCATAAATGAAGTTTATATATATAAAAAAGTAAAAATCGAATTTGTTCAATATATACCATAAAGAAAATTATGTTAAACCATCTTAAAAATTAGGAGATTCTCTCTCCTTTTTTGAAATTCTCTGAAACCTTCTTCGTTCGTCGCGATGGCCGCCGTCGCCGACGGAGCCACGCCTGGCGCCGTTGGTGGCGGTAGGTCTTGGGCTTCTTTGTTTCCTGTTTCGGAAGAGGTTAGGTTGGATTCCTATGAGCCTGAGTTTATCAATGGATCACTTCGGATTCCCAAATAGGTGATTGAGGAGGGTACGAAGAAATGGGAGCACAGCCTTGTGGGTCAGTTCCTGGTCGCTCCGCCTTCTCTTTCGGCTCTGAGGTTCTGGGCTAACTGGATTTGGAGTTCGAAGGTTTTGCTTCTTGATGACAAGCTGGTCCTCTTTCAGTTTCCATCAGAGGCGACCTGTCGGTGGGTATTTGAAGGGGGGTCGTGGCATTATCGTGAGAAGATCATTTGCCTTCGACGCTGGGTCCCTGGGATTCGAGCGTTGGAGATTGACAATTCAGTTGTTCCGGTTTGGGTCAAGTTATCTGGGTTACCTGCTGAACTGCGATGAGGGAAGGATTGGGTCGAATTGCAAGTTCTATTGGTAAGCCTCTCTGTATGGACCATTCTACTGCACATCAGGAGAGGGTGGGTACTGTTCCTGTATTTGTGGAAGTTAGTGCTACTAAGCCTAGAATTGACAAAATCAGTATTGTCCCAGATGACATGTTTGAATTTATCATTGGTATTGAATACTATGGTTTGCCTCGTTGCGGTGCCTGTGGAGTTTTTGGGCATGACTGCTCTCTTCCTCCTGCTGGGGTTCCTACTAAACGAGTCTGGCGACGTAAGCAAGCCAATGTTCTTGTATTGGGACAATCTAAGGCAGCTAATGCTGAGAATCTAATGACTGAACAAGTGGTGCAGGGTGCTGCTGAGAAGGGAATTGTATAGGATTAAGGAGAAGGGGTTTTTGTTGATAAAGGTAAAAAGGTCATGGAAGATTCTACCCCTCCTGTTACCCCCGAGTGCTTTTCCCTCTCAAGAAGAATTTAACAAGGTGATTAATGGTGCTAGGCCGATGTCTAATCTGAAGCTGCCCACTCCCGTGTTGCATTCTAATGCATTTGAACTATTATGTGGCCAAAGGGATATTATATTGCAGGCTCCTCCAAGAAAGGGGGGGGGTAGAGATGGGCTTCGAAGTAAAGGGGGAACCACTAAGGTGGTTACTTCCCGTAAATGACACTACTCATTTGGAACACAAGGGGCTTCAATGGCCCATTGAATCACAATGCAGTGCTTCATTACCTTTGGGTACATAGAGTTTCTATTTTTGCTTTACTTGAAACTAGAGTGCAAAACAAAAAGAGAATTGAGGAAATATGAGGGAAGTTTGTTGATTATCAATCTGTGGATAATTACTCAAAGCATAAGTTGGGAAAGATCTGGATTGCGTGGAATGATGATGTTAATTTGCGAGTATTAGCTGAGGAGGAGAACTTTATGCATATGGTGATTTCAATGAAGCAGGGAGCTCAGTTTTTCCTTACAGTGGTTTATGGTTCCAATGATGACAAGAATAGAGAAGTTACGTATAAGCAGATGAATCAGTGGAAAGTTCAGGGGTTCCCTTGGGTTGTAGGTGGAGAATGCGATTCTTGACCCTACAGAAGCCTCCAACGAAGTTATTATCTCGGGAAGTATGCTTGCATTTAGAGACTGGGTAGCACAAATGGAACTAGTGGATCATATGGCTTCTGGCCCTTTATTTACCTGGTCCAATCAACAGCAAGGTAATCTTATTGCTCGCAAACTAGATAGATTAATGGTTAATGTATTGGAGAAGTTTGTTGATTGTGTGGTGGAGTTCTTACCTCCTGATTTCTCTGATCACTGTGGAATTTTGATCATTCCTTGTGTCCCTGAGAGGTCTTACCCGAAACCATTCAGATGTTTTGATATGTGGTTTGCTCGTGACTCTTTCTCGTCCTTACTAGAATCATGTTGGGGGCAAGGGGTGAGGGGAACGTCTTTTTTTGGTGTGAAGCAGAAGTTATACCTTCTGAAAACAGAGCTTAGGAAGTTGAATAAAGCAGAGTTCTCGGATATTTCTAATAGAGTTAGGGAGAAAAAGATAGAGCTTACAAATAAGCAGCTCCAAGCTCTCCAGGTTCCTTCTGAAGGTCTTTTTGCATAAGTTCAATTTATTACTTGTGAATATGTGAATTTGAAAAAAGCAGAAGAGGCTTTCTTCAGACAGAAGTCTTGTATCAACTGGCTTACTCTGGGAGATTCCAACTCGGGGTTTTTCCATAAGGCTGCTTGTGTTCGTAATGCTAGAAAGAACATCAGGAAGATAATTTCTCATACTGAGGAGGAGATAACTGACATGAAAGATATTACTGATGAAGCTATCTTTTTCTACAAGGATCTGTTTGGAACTATTAACAAGGATGTGATTGTGGACTGTGACCTTATTGAGGGGTGCTTGAGTGAGAAGCTTACATATGAAGATAGAAGAATACTCTGTAGGTTGGTATCTGGGGAGGAAATTAGGCAAGCCCTTTTTGACATGAATCCCACTAAGTCTCTAGGGCCAGATGGCTGGACAACAGGGTTCTTTCAGAGGTGTTGGGGTCTTATTGGACCTGATATAATAAAGGGAGTCCAAGCTTTCTTTCATGAGGGGATACTCCCTAGAGGTATGAAATCTGCCTCATTGATTCTGGTTCCAAAAATACCTAATGCAGACAAACTTCCTTCCTTTAGACCTATTGCTTGTATAAATGTTCTATGCAAGATAATTGCGAAAGTCTTAGCAAATAGGTTAAAGAATGTTCTCCCTGCACTCATTAGTCGAAATCAATCAGCCTTTATTCAGGGGCGTAGCATCTTAGAGAATATACTAATGGCTCAAGAAGTAGTTCGGAACTATCACGGAAGTCAGCTGTCATCTAGTGCTGCTATTAAGGTTGATCTTAAAAAGGCTTTTTGACTCTGTTCATTGGGGTTATCTCCTGGGTGTGATGAGGTTAATGGGATTCCCAGAGGGCTTCATTAAATGGATCTCTCTCTGTCTAAGTGCAGCCTCCTTTAGCATCACTGTCAATGGCAGTCTCTTTGGCTTCTTTAGTGCTGTAAAAGGGGTCAGGCAGGGAGATCCTCTCTCTCCCTACCTCTTTACTATTGCAATGGAACCCTTGACTGGGCTGTTAAATAAAGGAGCAGCAAATGGTGGTTTCCCTTATCACCCTCAATGCAAACAGCTTGGTCTCACTCACCTGAGCGTTGCTGATGACCTCTTGATTTTCTCAGAGGGGTCAGGTCAGGCTTTAAATGGAATCAGGAAAGTCTTGGATACATTTTATCAGCTTTCTGGTTTACAATGCAATCTAGACAAATGTGAAGTATTTTTTGGTGGTTTTGCTCACCAGTTTAAGACCACTGCTCTGCAAATCTCTGGTTTTAGAGAGGGTAAGCTGCCAGTCCGTTACTTGGGCTTGCCATTGATCTCGGGTAAGTTGTCAAATGTAGAATGTGCTGTCTTGGTTGAAA